ATTGAAAGCATATTTATATAAAAACAATAAATAATTACTGAAAATAAAATAAATATTAATTATAGTATATATAAATAATGAATATACAATTTTATTGTAAAATTATTACTAATAAATATAATTTTGTTGATAGTTATTTTCTATAATTATTAATTGATATAAGTGAAATTAGTTATTTACAATATTATTTAGCTATTGAAATAATATTTTTATTTAAATTATTAAAATATTAATTATTTAATGAATTTAATAATCTATAAAATAATAATTGTACTATTATTACATAATTCGTTATTAATTTTGTAAAATATTAAATTATTATTAATACGAATATTATGAATTCTATTATAATTATTTTTCTACTTTTAAGATTTTTTTTTTAAATTTATTACATAATTTCGTTATTTTAACTATTTAGAATTTTGTTATGTTAAATAATATTTAAATAATATGTAAAATATTTAAAAATTTTCATTATTTGAATTTTATTTATTTTAATGTTATTACGTAATATTAAATATTTTTTTATATTAGCTATTTTTAATGTTTTTTATTTAAGATTTTTAGTTATTGAAATATTTAAATAATGTTTTCTTTTTTAATGTTAAATGTTTATTATTAGAATAATATTTAAATTGAATAATTCGTAAAATTATAATTTATATTGTTACTACAAAATTTGATGATGAATTTTGTAATAATATTGATTTATTAATAATATGAATATTATTAAATCTGTTATTTTTTTGTGTTTTGAATAAATATTTTAAATTTAGTGTATAACATTTAAATAATTCTGAATTTTTTTAATTGAAACTTTTTTTAGATAGATATAGATAAAAAGTGGGGGAGAGGATAAATAGGAATTAACAAGAGATAGTTTAGGAGAGAATCTCTCTACTAAGTTAGAAATAATTTAAGAGATAAATAGGTGTTAGAGATAATTTAGGAGATAAATAGGAATTAGAGACAATTTAGGAGATAAATAGGAATTAGAGACAATTTAGGAGGAAGTGAGGGAAAGTGGTGCCATTTGGCTAAACATTAGAAAAGCAAATCCGTCTTTCTTTATGATTGTTAGAAATAGTTAAGCATATGTTATTTCATTATTGGTTTAATGGGTAATTATGTGGAATTAAAACAATAAAAAAATAAAAAAAAACAGAAAATTAGGAAGGGGTTTCAAGCAAGGAGAGGGCGGCTGATATGGTAGGACCAATTTATATATATATATATATATATATATAGAAAGTTTGAATTAAAAAATTTAGGAATTATTTAAATATAATAATGAAATTACATAATAACTTTAAAGTATTTATTAAAAGCACGAAAA